AGGAATTTGTCCTTGTACTTACTAACCTTAAATGTCTTCCCATCCCCAAGAATTTGCCTAGCTGCTTTCTGAAAGCACACAAATTGTTAGTATCAGCTCCTGCAGCAAAGAGCTCTGTGGCTTAGGTTCACATCACATGAAGGACTACCATCTATGATTAATTTTGATCTTGCCATCTTCAAGTTCTTTTGGATAGCCAAGTTTTTATGCTGGAAAAAGAAGCATTCCCTATTCTCCTTTCAGACTCCTCATCTTACAGACTTCTAACACAATCTCCTCCCCTTGCTTGAGGTCATCTTTTTGGCAGGCTGAAGAATGTGTCTATACAATCAGAAGCAGTTTCTTACCTTTCATCATCTATGTTGTCCATCTTTGTACCTTCTCCTGTTCTGCTTTCTCTCTTTTCTAGGATTACTAAAATTAATTTAAGGAAAACCCTGCTGAAATTGTAGAGTAAATAAAGTGTTCTAGAACATCAAGCACAGAATTTTTTGGAGTTTGCATACAGAATCCTTCACCGTATCCTAATCTTTAAATTTAAACCCATTAGAAAGGGAAGAAAAAAAAAGCAAACCTATACAAAGTGGAAAAGCAGAGAAAAAACTAGACACTCACTGCAACAAAGCTTTCGTTTTTCTGGTTGGATCTTCTGGTCTGAAGTTTTTGTATACCTCTACTTCATGTTCTATAGAAAGCAGCTGGCTCTGCAGTTTGCTTCTGAAGGCTGGCAGGGTATCCCGAATATGATTGGTAAGTTGCTAAAAAGCAAATAAAAGTCCTTTTATACTGTTAATAAAGTTGAAAGCAAGACCACAAACATTTCCTTTTGACTGCCAAGCATATCAGCCATGACCTGTGCTAGTTTACCAGTGTAGTTCCTTTTGATCTTTGAAGCAATGGAGACTGTTAAAGAACAATACAATATCCCTTTCACAAACACATTATAAGGAGGCTTGAAAAATTCCTTCGTCTTCTCACTCTCTGAGCCCTGTTACTACATACTTGTTTAGTTACACACAGGAAAGTTATACACATTACATATTTAATTTGAAATGACCTCTCATCACTTAGCGCTGACGCCACCACTCCCATTTTGGTGATTTTCCTAAGGGAGTTTCCCAATTCCCTATATACTTGTTCAGCATGATAACTTCTTTACTTTACAGCCACAAGGCAATGTGGGACAAGGAAGAGATTCTGAGCATCCACAGCCCATTAAGAACAGAGATGGAAGGAAGTGTAGACATACAGAGTACCTACTTGGCACTCTCCCACCATTGGGAAAAAAAAATCACCTCCACGTGATTTCTGCTCCCTTGTACAAAGTATACGAAAGGGAAGAGATTTTGCCCTCATATGAACGATTACAGAACCTTACCTTTTTAAACACTTGATTTTTGGCTGAAAAAGGTTCTACCACTCAAGACTACTGGTTTTAATTTCTGAAAATATACCTAAAAGTACTGGAAAATAAACTGAAAGAGAGTAGAAAAAGGCTTACCAGACCTGTGTTTAAATTACCTCACTTACTTTTGTATATATATGTTGTAATGTGTTTGGACAGCACTATCAATGTCTTACCTGTGCCATAAATTTCTCGTGCATTGTACCCATTCTTTGATTAAAACCAAAGCGGACTTCTTGCACTATACTGCAAACCCTCTTCCCAACCCCAGTCAGACAAGCTATAAATTAAGAATGTCATATATTAAAATATGTAAACTTAAAATTAAAGTTGTTCAGCAAACCGGACAGGCACAAAATCAAAACCTGGAGTTTCCCTGGAGCACCACCTTGTGGATGCAGAGAAATTTAAATATTACCTGAAACCACAAACACTAATAGGTCCCTAATATCTTAGGGATGAAGCTTAAGTAGATCTTCTCATATATAATATTCTGCATGCAGTAATAGCAACAGAAGACCAACAGTTCATACTGAAATAGGTAAATTTACGAAACAGCTCACAAAAAAAGTTAATAGTACATAAAGTAATGCAAGCCAGGACAGATAAGACAGTCCAAAGGTATATGCAGCTCGTGCTTCAGTCTCAAAACTAAGACACATGAATTAAACTTTCAAGATATAAAAAGAGGCAAAATATCCTAAACACAGACAAAAATCGCAGGATACAAGCAAGTTCTTGCATCCTGTTGAAGACTTTGGTTCTGAGGCACAAATAAATGGCATTAGCATTCTTTTTGAGCAAGTCCAGAGCGTGCCGTAACCTGGCTGTCACGTTACAGCTGCAAAGTCACTGTAGCAAGAAATTAAGCAAGCCAGCCACTTAGTTCCCTACCTTAATCAATAACTTCTCTACTGTTTCCAGCTGCTGTCCAAAATGGACAAAGCCAGGCTGACCTGGTCTTTGTCTATTCCAGACCAAAGGCTGCAATTTGACAACGAACTGGAGAAAACACTATCAAGTTTTACTTGTAGGAATGCCAAGAACAGTGGTCAGCTGACAAACTGAGATTAAAAAAAAAAAAGGCATCACCAGTAATTTTAGAGAGGCAGACATGACTTGATCTTGTTCTCTTCAAACTTGCTGAGATGCATGATCATTAGAGACACATGCTATTCAAGCTAAGGGCTGGTGCTATGGAAAGGGCAATACCCAAAGACAAAGTGAAGAGAATTATATACTCCTCCAAGTCTGGTGTAGGCAGTGTCTTGATTAGGACAGTAAGCTATGGGTTTCTCCTCCAGGTAACTGG